CTCTGTCCCTTCCTCCAGGTCATTGATGAATACATTGAACAAGACTGGACCCAGGACTGACCCATGCGGGACACCCACCGCTAGCTACAGGCCTCCAACTAGATTCTGAGGCCTCCAACTAGATTCTACCTCTTCTCCGTGGTGCCCAGCAACAGGACAAGAGGCAATGGGAAGAAACTGAACCACAGGAAGTTCCACCTGAACCTGAGAAAAAACTTCTTCACTGTGAGGGTGACAGAGCATTGGAACAGGTTGCCCAGAGAGGTAGTGGAGTCTCCTTCCCTGGAGATATTCAAAACCCGTCTGGATGTGATCCTGGGCAATATGCTCTAGGTGACCCTGCTTGAGCAGGGAGGTTGGACTAGATGATCTCCAGAGGTCCCTTCCAACCTAAACGATTCTGTGATTCTGTGATTCCTTGGCTCTTGTGGGATGTGGTGAGTAACCATGTCTTACTCGCACTTTCTGTACCATTCATGTAGGTCCCTAGCATAGCCGTCATCAGCTATCTTTCTTCCAAGCTGAAGACTCCCAGTTTCTCTTTGTGGGAATCATTCTCATACTCCTCTGTGGACCTTTTCTATGTCTTCTATGCGGTTTTTGAGGTGATGAAGGAGAACATGGCTACAGGTACTCTTTGCAAATGTAGCTACATGATGAATTTATGCAGTAGCAGAATAATGTTTTCTGTTTTGTTCTCCCATCTTTTCCAATTTCTAATACTCAAAAGTGAAATGGTATTGCTGAGCACTGTGCTGATGTCTTCAGCGAGCCCCCCCTAATGACTATAGAATCTTCATGGACTGGTAATCTCATTTTAAGGATGTTGCATTTTATATGCAATCAGGATTATGTTAGTTTACGTTTACTGAGCTTGAGTTTCATCCAATAACATAAGAAAAGCCCTAGTAGGTTCTGGCTAGCCCAGTATTCTGTGTCTGGCATGAGTCACTGGAAATGCCAAGAAAAAGAACATAAAAGAAGATAAGCATGTAGTGATTCTTTCCAGAATACTGCCTGAGACTACAACAATCTGTGTTCTAGCACTTTGTAAGCCAGAGGCTGTTAATTTGTTCACTGCTTTCTTGAGTCTATATACATTTACAGTAAATTTCACATGCCATGTTATTGCCCAGTCAACTCTGTAAAATCCTAATAAACTTTTGTGTAGTGAGGTTTCATTTGACTACCCAGATACACAACTTGGAATCATCAGCAAACTCTCTCAAAACAGTCGTCTTCACTTCTCTCACTCGTCACATACCAAACACTGACCCTACTGCAGACCCTACTTCTTCTCTGTTTTAAAACAGAGACGAATTTCTTGCTACGCCTTTTCTGTGTTTTAGCTACTTATTAATCCACTAAGAGCTGTGTTTTCCTAGCCCATGGCAGCCTATTTTCATTAAGAGCTTTGAGGAACAATCAGAAGTGTTTTTGTGAAGTCCAGTATGCTGCTTTGAGCTCACACTTACCTGCATGTTTGCCAATTCTAGTGGGTTTAAGAGGCATGACTTCCTTCTGTGAAAGCCGTGTTGATTTCCCTCCCACCCAAATCTGGATTTTTAGCTGCATGTCTACATATGCCTTTCTTTTATACTGGTTTGCCTTGTTTAGAAGTCAGACATCTGCTTATCAATCTTAGAATCCTTTCAAGATGTCAGATTTGTCACCTACATTCATTTGGTCCTGAGGCCTTTTCAAACAACAGGTTAACACTACAGCTAATAGCTCAGGAATAATTCTGGACTGTAGCAAATACTCATACCTGGGTCTTGTAACGAGGGGTACGTGCATCTTGGAGTCTGGCTCTAGAGCAGAGGGCGGGCCACCAGGTACAACTCAACAGACTGTGCACCTCTGCTCTGAGCTATCTATCTTCATAGTTTGCGTGTGTGTGCGCGCGCACGTGTGTGTGTGTGTGGTGAGTGGGTGGGTGTGTGGGGAGGGGGGTGTATTTGAGGTTCTGTACTAAAGTCAAAAAATGTGGAGAAGAGTTTCTCAGGAACCAGTTTGTACTTGAAGAGAAAAATGTGTGATTTAATGGAGCTTTTTCCTTTTTACACAAGTATCTCACAGTCATTGCTCAAGTCAAACTGCAAATGGCAGATGTCCTAGGTGCATATTAAAGGTCATGGGATAAGTTGCACTAGTTCCTTTCAGGAAGGCAAAAAGCTACTGTAACAGCAGTGTACTTCAGATGCAGTACACATCCCTAAAAGGCCTGAGACCAAGTTAACAGAGGGGCTGCCTTGACAGAATATCTTTTCAGTGAGTTCCTTTGGTGGGGGACACAAGTCAAAGTCTAAACTTACAGAAAAGACTTAGTCATGTAATTTCAACATTAAGCAAGGTCAAGGTGCTTGCCCCTCCCTCTCTCTCTCTCTCTCTCTCGCTCTCTCTCCCTCTCCCCCTCTCGCTCTCTCCAGCTACTGCATACCACGCAGGTACTCACATTGCCCTTTAGTGCTTGATATGCTGTTAAAACTATTGAAATGGTTGGAGCATGAGGATACACCAAGTCCTTTCAGTATAACTGTTTTTCCTAAGGGTTGGCACTTCCTTACCGTTTTCAGTGAAGCCTGAGTGTTAGGGTTAGAGATCTTCTCAGGCATGTGAATTCCTTCCCAAAATCCATAACAGTCAGTACATGAACTGTAACAACAGAAAAGAGTGGGCACAGGATTGGTTTAAACAATATCGTAAAGACTTAGGTGTTAAATTTGAGACAGCGCAGGGGTATACCTTTATGCCCATGTCTACTGCATCAGCTATATGCCTAACCTAGCACTTTCTCTTAAAAAACCTTAACTTTTTCTGTCTACACAGTTCTCCTGGAGCAGGATGGGCAGCAAGAGGATGAGGAAATGTTATTAACACATGATTCATCAACACCTACTGCATCAGCACTTGAAGAAATGGCTCTGTACAGCAGCAAACGCAAACTCCGACACAGCCGGCGCAGTTTGGAGGCTGCTGTCCCTACGTAGAGGATCTGATGCACCTGGGCAATGGGATAGCCCTGCACAGGGCTCTTGAGCTTCCTGTGCTCCAGGGATAGCACTGGACTGCCCCCCCCCAAAGCTGCCTCCTGGATAGGAACTGAGCACCCCAGGGAGCATTGTGGTTAACTAACTTCCTTTAAGGCTGTGAACCGCCCTCTTTTCTCAGCCCATAATGCACCGGGGCATGTCCTAAACAGAAGGGGACAACACCAGACTTACTAATGGCCAATTGAGAGGAGGTGTGGGTAGGACAGTGGGCAGCTGCAGTTTGTTAGCCTGTAAATATTGGGGGGGAGGGGGAGGTAGGACAGGGAGAGCATAAGAATGAGAGTTTAGGGGGGGCTCCAGTTATTTCTTCAACTTGGATTTTTTTTTTTTTTAATGGTTAATAGAGGAGCTTCTATTCTGGTATGAATTTGAAGGAAGTTCCAGCCTTTACTGCTATTTAATTTCCAGTCTTTTGCCAAAAAGCATCTCCGTCCACCTCCCACACACACAGTGTCACCTCACTTTCTTCTGGGAGCCTGTGGAAGTGGATATTTTGGAGGCCAAAAAAAAAAAAAAAAGAAAGAAAGAAAGAAAAAAAATTTCAATGAAGTGCCTCCCTCTGACACGGACAACTGTGTGTGCTCAAGCAAAGACGACTGAATAAGCAGGAGCCTGTGCCAGCTCCAGGAAGCATCAGCTCCATTCCACTTGCCTCTGTGAGAGCAGCTACCTGTTCCATGTAAGAAACTGCTCCTGCCAGTATTTTGTGCTCTTCTGGGCGACAGTTCCTTAGTACATGTAATTGTGCGTATCTCATGCACACAGAGTGTGAGCCACTCAACATGCACACTGTACCAAGTGTCAGGGGAAGCCGGTATGTGTCTTCTGTCAGAATCATGATCGAGTTGGTGAACTGGGGCAGAAAGGAGAACCAAGCTGAAAAAGCTGTAGTGAGAATATAGCAGTGTGCATGTGTGACAGCAATAGGGGGCAGACTAGTTGGGGATTAGGATATGGTGGCAGAGGTAGGAGGTGTAAACAGCAGATAAGGGTAGTGGGTTAGGATTCAGTAAATGGGGAAAGGTAGGTGATGTTGCTGGGTTTAAGTTAGGAGTAATGGTTTCTTACAGGTAGGAGGATACTAGTGGGTGAATCCAGTACATCGCCCACTAGCACTGAGGTGAAATGTGATATTGAGGAGGTTCTAGGTATGGCGCTCTCAAGGAATGCCTGCCAGGCAGGGAGCACAATGCCAGGATGGGTCTGGCCTATGCCTTGCAATAACTACACAATCCTACTCTCTCTGCCAACATGTTGGCTTTAGGCCACTTTCCATGCAGGACAGGGCGAATATATGCTTGCTCAAGCAAGGAAAAAAAAAAAAAAAGGGAGCAGGGGTGTGATTTGTTGTTTTCTTGCACAAAACAAGGGCTTAGAACAGATTCAGTATTGAGTGAGCTTTGCAAACATGGAGGAGACGGACATTGCTCATAGCTCTGTTCTGAAATTAGTCTCTCCTGCTCTACTGCCCACTACAGAAGAAAATGTCCTTTTCTTTTTTTCTTTTTTTTTTAATGCCTCCAATAGAAGAGAGAAAGGCAACTGAGCTT